AGTCACTGTACCAAAAAGAACTGAATACACTACCTACCACCAAATCACATTTTAAACAAGGTAATTGGACGGTACATCAATCATATCTTAACAAAGCTGTTAAAAAGAAAAGGCTCAGCTGCTTTAATATACTAAGTATGTTCTGAAAAAACTGTATAAGGTTAAATCATAATTTAAAAACTGAACAACTCTCCACCTAAAGGAACGCTTTGGCAAACCTTTGATTAAATGAAGCATTTTGAAAAGAAAAAAAAAGAATTGAGCGTGCAAATGGTAAAGACATGGATACTCTCATGTAGCTATGTAAACAAGCATCAGGTACTGAAACAGAAAAGAGATTAATAAAAAGTGTTCAGAAAGGACCAGCTTTGCTGGTCTGATAGAGCCAGGTGGGACTTCTGAGACTATGGCCCCTAGCTGCCCTTCAAGTCTGGAATTGAACCCACTCCTGCGGCGCCTAGCCAAGCAAAAGACATATGAGCTGAACATTTACATTAGGTAGATATGAGAATCTAAGTTCAGCCTGCATCCTGTCTGTTAACCTCGGCTGAAGGCAGATAAGTAAATATGATAACTCAGTTCCTTAAGAACGGAGCTGAATTGAAGGTCAATTCATACATCCTTTCCATGTTATTCCCCACGGTAGCTAGAAACAGGTGAATAGGTATGTTAATGTGTTTCCTTAAAGTTGTTTTTCAGGAAACAACTTGGAAATCAACTTTGCCCTCCCCCACACATGACCAGTGAGGCAAACTATAACAAAGTTGCTCAGAACTGACATTCTCCCCTCTGCCTAAGTCTCAATCAGCTGATGATAGGAAGTAGATGTAACTCATCCAGTACAACAGTGCACTGCATTAAAAATTGACTGTCCCTTTAAACCAAGGTGAAAGAAGCCTCAGCCAATCCTCAGTTAATTCACATCCCCATTCCTGAAATTTTTATTAATATGTATAAGTTCCTCTCCTAAAGTTTACAAAACTGTATCCCGAACCTCCATTTGGAGAGTCAGATTTGGGTACTGGCTCCTGCCTCCTTGCATTGCTCCTTTGTAATAAATAATTTTCTCTCCTCTTTATTACTCAGTGTATAAACTAGTTTGGTCTGATCACGCACTGGGCAGGGAGCCACTTCAGATACACTCCTTGGAGAGATCAATCATGGGAGAATAGAATGGCTGTGTATGCACAGGGAGACAGGTTGGGGTGGGGGCAGGAGAGCATGGGAGGGAAGGACACAGGGAAAAGGTAACTATTGGAAGGAAATGCGAAGAAAGCTGTTGCATTGTGGGAAATTGCAGTCAATGTCATGAGACAAAGTAAATGTGAACTGCTATATGGACAATGAATTTGCTCTGCAAACTCAGCCAAATCACAATAAAAATTAAAAAAAAAAAAAAGTATTTAGTAAGTGCTTTAGGACCTTTCCAACTAAGTAATAAGAAGAAAAACATCCTGGGGTTTGGGAAGCTGTTCTAGCCCTAGATGTTAGCAAAGAAAAATCCAAACCCTGACCAAAAGTGACGCACAGTACCTGGACAAGATCCCTTCTCCCAACAAGCAAGGCGGAAGCAGCATTCTTCTGACATGTTTCCTGAATATCATTCACATTTAATCTGGGGGGAGAGAAAAAAAGTACCTTTCTAGTCTCGTTTCCTAAATCAATTACTCCTGGTTTAACAAACAGACCAATGGCTGCCTCTTTTGCTGTCACTCAAAATGTGTTATTCGGTATTGTTTTTAAACTCCTTCTCTACCTGACACCCAGAAGAGCTTAACTGCAGCCAATGTTATGCTGGGGTCCAGGCCTGGAGAATGTAAAGCTGCTCACCCCTTCAGAATCAGGAGAAGTCATTCTCAAGTACTAATTTTCCAGTCAGCTTTTCTGTGGCATTCCCAAGGCTTGACTTTTGAATAAAAATGGATTTAAATATGTTTGACGCTGGCTTTGGTTTCTAACACAAAGAGCAGCATCCACATTACAAAATAAACACTGGCCATCATGTGTTCAAATTCAGGAAGAAAAGGAAAATCACAGGCTGACCTCTGCTGTCCGTCACCCACTCTACCAACTCCCTTCATCCAACGCTGTTCTGCTTTTACCTGTTTCACACATTGGATGAGTGGGAGGCAGAATTCTCAGGTGGCCCCCAAGACCCCTGCCCCCTGGCATGTATACCTTGAATAACTGCCTCCCTTCGAGTACAGGCATAATCAGTGATAGGATGGAATAGGTTATTAATATGATGAGGTTACTGATCAGTTGACTCCTAGTTCATCAAAAGGGAGATTATTATCCTAGGTGGGCCTAACTCAGTCAGGTGAGCCCTTAGAAAGAAGGTGAAGTAGCAGAGAGACACTTCCTCGTGGCCTTGAAGATGATGAAATTCCTCAAGAGTTGTATAGCTGCTCACAACCTGAATGAGCTTGGCAGAGGACCCTGCATATCAGAAGAACGCATCCACACCCCTCCCCCAGCCAATATCATGGTGTTAGCCTGGTGAGTCTTTAAGCAAGGGCCCCGCTACCCCTGGACCAGATCCTGACCCAGGGGAACTGTGGACGATAACTACTATTTTCAGCTGCTAAGTTTACAGTAATTTGTTAGGCAGCAACAGGAAATAAATATACCGGGCTTCTTCAAAAACTGTTTTTGCAGAATGGCTCCTCCGATACTTAATATAAAAGGTTAGATAATCATGACTAAGCCGTAAGCACAGCATCCTTAGAAATGTGAACTTACATGTACAGTTCTCCTAATGATTTGTGAACAGGAAGAAGGCAAGCGATATCCTGGATGATGACTTTTCCAGCAGCTTTGATCGGTCGGTTGCCAGAGTCCGATCCCTCACGTTTACTTTTCCATCTTCTTGATTTCTGGGGGAGATGACAAGATATAACTAATGGGAACTTTGATGAATGGAAACCTACAGTCGCACAGTACATCATATTGGGGTCATTGGTAATTTGCAGAGACTTTGCATTACATCATGCCCACAATTACATGAATCAGCATCTGTAGGAAATAAAAGGATGACGAAGGGCATTGAGCTCTCAGTCCAAAATCCAACAGGAAATAAGCACCCACTGCTTATGCCCGGGCTATGTACATTTCGCAGGTGCTCAAAAATAGATACCATGAAGCGAATTTACAAAAACCAGCAGCTAAAGAAGTTAGTAAAGACCACAGAAAGGTGGGAGAAGAGCAACTTTTAAGGTTGAGTTCTGTACTACATTCAATACTCTTGACTGAAAGCAATCGAGATTTTTTTCTTTTCAGATAATTTAAATAGGACTTGGTGAAAATTTAACTGAGACACAACAGTGTGGGTTCTGCAAACCTTAACCGGTGGTAGGCAGAAAGGGAAACTTAGTAGCCCAAACAGAAATTACCCTGTTTTCCTAAGATTGTCATTGTTCCAAAAGTGATCATTTTAGAGTGCCAAAAACAGGTGAGTAGAGGGGCTCAGGTAAGGACCATGGGAGATCATGAGCGGCGGCCCCATCTCCCCAGAGCCTAACCTACAGGCAGCTCCAGAGGAAGTACATGTGCAAAATGGAACATGTTCTGGAAACTGACAATTATTAGAATACAGCCCCATCCAGTATCCTCAAAAATGACAATGAGCCAGGGGAATAACATCCTATTTTATTTTATTGCCAGAATTTTAAAAGGAGGGCCATCAAAGTGAGTCAACTCAGGAGGGATGTGAACATTTTTATTAACAAAGAAAGCAAAGGGAGCTGGTGGAAGGGTCTGGAATTTAGAGTCAGAACACCTAGGTCTACCAGTTTTACTACCACCGTGTACTGGCTCCACATGGTCGTGGGTAACTTACTTATTTGCTATGAATTTATTCTCATGTCATGTTCTCTAGTCTCATCTCTGAGTTGTGGCTAAGCAGGGCTGTATGAACTGGAAAGTGCAATTTGAAAACATAGTAATTATGAATATAAAGACATTCTCAGGATTTAGAGTAGACCATTATTCAGATTACACACAAATTTATTTTCTATAAAGGTTTTCCACACAATCACTCTTCCCTGAACTAGTCATAGTCTAAATTCAGGTATTTCTGACCACTCTTGTCCATTGAATCTCCAAAGTAGCCCAATGCATGCAACCTCCTCTAGGATTAGTAAGTGTTATGGAACCAACTAATCTCTGGAAAGCTAGACTTAGTTCCTGGCTGGCAGATAAATGAAGGAGCTTAGCTGAAATATCTGTGAATTGTTTATGATGATTTGTAAATACATGTGTCACATTATCTACTTGTAACTGTAACCCGTTTGATCTTCACAAGTGGTTCAGTTACTACTTATTGTTTATCCATACACAAGCCACTATTTTGCAGTACAAGAGGAGGAGGAATCTGTTATTTGGGGTAGCCTTGGAACTCTCTGCTAGCCCTGGCTATTTTCTGAAGAATTATGTGAAGACTTATAAAAACACTATCCTTCTAGCCATCAAACATACTGACCTGGGTGCCAGTGAGGGGAGAGTATGTTAAAGAGCAAACCACCTATCAGAATGGGCTGGAGCCAGGCAGCATTAGTCAATACAAAGTACATGTAGTTACACATGTACTAAATATAGTACATGACAGTGACATATTTTAAGGAAGGTAATTCAATATATGTCTAGCCTGCAGTGACTATCAACAGCAAGATGTGGTTTGCTAGAGCAGGGAAGGTATAAGAATTGGACACTCACTTTGCTGTGATTTCAGGTTTCCAGGGCTTTAAAAACTCCAGGAAACTATACACTCATCATCCATTTAATTGGTCACCCCAAGTGAGATTTAGGGTATTAGTCACAGCTAAAAAGAGTCCAACTGGAAGGGAAACCATAGGTCTTTTGAAAGTTGCAGTGTGATCCAATGTGATCTTTCTAGTTGGTTTTTAGGCTGGCTGGATGGCTTGGAAACACTGTTCAGGCAGCCACTCTGGCTCCTTATGACAGAGAAAATGAGAAACCCTGGAGCAAGTGAGCAGTTTCCTGTAGCTCCTCTCATTATTCAGCTGAAGTAAATGGAAGCCTCACGAGCAGTGGGCTCTACTAGCTTTCATGCTGAAAGTAACTGTAATTTTTTATTTTAATAGAATCACTCCTCGGAAGGAAGGTTGGGCAATCCTACTTCCATAGTGATACTGCCTCGGAAACCCAAGGAGGGGTCGCTATGAGTCAGGGCTGACTTGACGGCACATAACAACAACAACAATAGAAACATATTAGTAATCATATTAAGGTCCATGTGCCCAAAGTGGCTCATTTGCAAGTAGACTAGTCCATCTGAAAATTGCCAAGTGACACAAGTCCAAGGGTACAACATATTTGAGTTAGGATGTAAAGATGTGTCTGCTACTATTTATTAACAACGTCAGCAGCTCCTGCTCTATGCTAGCATATGCTTCACCACAGCTCAACATAGAGGTATGACCTCAATTTTACAAATGAAGATGTTAGGCATACCCAAAGTCACAGTTATAAGAGCTGAGATTTAAACAAAGGTCAGAAAGGTAAGCTCATGTGTATTTCTTGCTTTTAAGCATATGATTCCAAATTTAAAAGGGAAAAAAATAAAATTAAGTCCTGACTAAGTGACCTTTTAACACATAAGCAGTGCGGTCCATTTTTGGGCAGATCCATTTCTGCACATAAGATTAGTTTCCGATGCCAGAGATGCCTGCCCAGAACCATCCTTTTAGACTTGCCCACTTTAAAAGTCACTTCTCTGCCAAGCCTGTGGCTGCGTTCTGCTAAGTGGGGGAGTGTGCGGAGGATCGGCACAGGCACGCAGCGCCCTCTGCAGCCACACAGCTTCACACGGGCACCCTCGAGTCAGACCAAGATGCTGCACCCACACTGTGTGACCTCTTTCTGCATTTGGTAGGACTAGACATGTTCAAAAGTAAGAAAAGTCAGAGTCCCAGGACATCTCTTATTTTCCTCCATTTGCAGTCTTAAATTAGAGCAATCAATAGAAGCAGATCCATATGAGCTGTCAACAAATATTTGTTGATGGATCTATGAAGACAGTGGTCTTTGAGAACTTTTTGCAATTACCTTTCAGTGAATTATGCAAATGCCAATCTATATTCCCTGGACTTGCTGGTCAACTCCTTGAGACACCAGCTCCTAAGTGTTTCTCTGTGGGATCCGTACTCAATGGAAAGGTGATGTTCTATGGAACCCTACTAAGCTGCCTTTCAGTGTATAATAGAAGGAGATTCCCCCAAACAGGCTCACCCTAGTTATAGCTGCCACCAATAAGCTGTGAAAGTAATTGTGGGATAGTACTATTAGTTTTTTAATCCAGCAAGGAAGGGATAGCTGTCAACCATTATCAAAAATCAATAAAGGGACACAAAATAACTTTTTTTTTTTAAATTTGTTGAACAGTGGTTTTTACACATGAACTATCTTTCCTTCAGACCCCAAGAGTTATTCTGTAAGCTTGCCTAGTGGCCTGTTATTCTGGGCATGCATGTAAAAAAGGCTCCATCTCAACAGATCTGAAATTAGATGCTAGTTGAGGCTGCAGGTCCTCACTGCTCCCTAACAAATAGATGGGACAAATGTCTAGGGTGTTTTCTCTAGGGTTATGGCAAGAAAAGAGTCATATTCCACCCACAGCTCACCTACGACTGCCTCCCCATTTAATAGCTTGCTGGCAATTTTAGGAGTTTCTCTTGTCTGTGCAACAGTCAGGTAACAACATGCAGATTTCCCTTTGGACTCTGGGTCCAGGGAACAATGATACATTAAGCTAAGAGGGGCAGTTAATCATTCTGGGTTAGGCAAAAGTAGGAAGGTAAAAAAACTCCCTAACCCCCTGGGCATTGCTCCCGTCCCACTCTGATATAAAATCAGTTATTTCTGGGCAGGAAAGGGACTCTTTGTTTCTCTTAGGTCTTTTCAATGCCCCGTCTGTAGGAGATGCCCCTTCCCCACAGACTTCAGGAGAAGGAATGGAGCAGAGAGAGACAAAGCGAGACAGACAAATTATTATGGGATGAGCACCAGGATGCTTCTCTGAATAAACCAAGGTGTTCATGGAATTATGAGAAAGAGGAGAAGGAAGAAAGGAGTGGAACTGGGGGGGAAGGGAGGCAGAGGTGCAAACAGCACTGAATGACAACCAACAGCCAGCTTGCGACTGTACCACCAGTGTTACTGCTACAATCGGAGGCAACATCAACACCAGTAAATGGGTTAAATGTAAAAACAGCCCAAGAATAAGCCACCAACTGCTTCGTAGCAACCCCATCAACACTGCATAATCAGCAGAGTGGGCAGCCAGTCAAAATGAGCTCCTACTCAAAGAGCAGCAGGACCAGGGACTTGGGGAAGTTCAGTGGAGACTGAGGAGTCCGTTGGCTAGGACAGGCTCTTTCAGGAAATGTAGCCCCATCAATGGCTCCTAACGCAAGTGGTTGGCAGCAGTGGTACTTTCTAACAGGAGCCCCTGACTTCAATTGTTTTTATATAAAAGCTATAGGACTGCTTCCCTGAGTATGCTTTACACTTAATGAAATTTACACAAGAGCCTCAAAGCTTGCCTTACACAGCCTGAGGTCACCTTGTGCTACTGAAGTCAGGATAAGATGGGGGAGGAAAACAGAAGAGGAGAGATGGCCAATAGGGTAAGTAAGAAATAAAGAAAAGGAAGAGAGAATGTCCAGAACTAGGGGATTTATTATCAATACAAAATAGATATGGGGAGGGAAAAAAATTATTCCAGAAATTCTAACATGGATTAAAAACTACCTTATGTGTCATGCCAATGTAGCAGGCTGGCACTTCCCTCACTGAACTAGACCCGGACTACAGAAACAGACTGAGAAAGCCTCTTCTAGCCTCCTCTGCTGCCTCCATGTCAAAGACAGGCTTTCTTCTGATAGCTCTACGAAATTATCCAATCCTCCAAGTGAAATCAGGTGAACTAAAGGCTTACAACCTGGGTTCTTTCTAAGAAACCCAGTATTAAGCTTCATCTTCAAAGAACTCCATCCACAATCTTAGTAACATATGTATTTCCCCATTCGAAACTCCATGATTGAACAAGAGGGGCAGCTCTTGGTGCCTGACTCCCCAACAGAAAAAATTCATTGTTGCTGGTCCTGAAAATCAGCGAGCCTGTCATTTCAGGTTCCTCAAAGCCAGGCAGGTGGCATTTTATTCTTGGGCCTTGGGTAAAGACAGGATTAGTTAAGGAGAGCATTTGCACAGCGCACAGTACCGGGAAGTCGTTAATTGCTTGTATGGACCAACGTCGCCGGGCAGAGCGAGGAGACATCTGTGCGTGAAAACGTTACACCCAGGAGGAGGGAAGAAAAACACCAAGAAAATTAAAAGGGAAAAATATAGAATAAAATGAAAGTTCCCACACATCTGATGGATTAAAAGGTATGATAATATACTCCAAAAACTGGGATTGGAAAGACCGAAAAATCTGAATCTAAGCACAGCAGTATTGGATTCCCATGCCCCACCTCCCTCCCAACCCATCCCAGTCCAAATGCAGCTTCCATTTCATTGGACCAACATCAACACTGCTCTGACAAAGGAACTACGATCGACGTGTGAGGTACTTAGTCTCAACAAGGACAAGACCATAGTGCAAGTGGGGAGATAAAGGCAAAAGACTCTGTTCTCCTTCCCCTTTAACAGGTGAGGAGACCACGTATGTAAGACTACATTCTTTCTCCTAAAAAGGAAGAAATTCTTCAATAGACTCAACCTCTGATTTTTATTTTTGGTGTGTGGCTGGGGGCAATGAGGACATTAAAAGTCTTGACCTTGCAGTACTATTTTCAGAGTGGAACTATTTCCAGAATAGGGAAAGCGAGAGTCCGGGAGAAATGTAGGGGCAGAGGGAGCCAAAGCTGGGGCACTCTCCCGTGGGGGCACTTCTGCTACCAACGTGAGCATCTGAGTATGAGATGCTGTCTATGGAAATCAGAAATGATTCTGTCACTTCAAGACCTCCCCAGTTATTTACATGAGAGCTATTTTACTGAGACAAACTGACGCAAATGTGGGAGGCTGCACATTTTTTTAAATGTTTATAGGGCAATGCCTAACATTTATCATACATTCTGGCCTTTTGAGTTACCTTAGGAATAACAATACTTCAGATTTATCTACTATGAATAGCTGGTCCAGTCCAAAATCAAACGTAAACATCTCCCTGTGCTTTCTAACTGCCGAGGAAATTTCTAGGCTTTTTAAGGTCTCTCATATTTTTTAATTTCTAGGAGCAAACTTTGAAATTCCATCTGGAGAACATTTATTTGAGTGACTATTACAATATGACCTAAATAGGGCAGGTTGAAAACACTCAAAAACAATAAGAGAAACAAACTGTACTCCTCGAATGGCTCCATGGTTTGTATCATCTCAAAGTACGTTATAATTCTCTGATTGGTGCTGTACTTTACTCAGCTGTATTCTCTTCCTTGACTCTCACTCATTTAAAGCTCTCAGGGAGGGAGATCAAATAGGACATAAGAAAAATGTAGGAGAAAGATTTTATTGAAAATGAAGAGAAATTTAGTAAACTAAAATAGCTTCCAGAAAAAAAACTTGGGAGAAGTGAGAGGGCCATGTGAAAGTAGACACATGGAAGGGAAGGTGCCCAGACAGGACACCACAGCCACATTTAATTTCTTTCTCTCTCTCCTTGCCCCATAAAAATGGGATGATATGAAAGTAGACACCTGGAGGATGAGAAAACACTCCTGAAGGACAGAGCTGTACCCCCAGGGGGAAGAGAAGGTGCCTAGACAGGACACCACAGCCACATTTAATTTCTTTCTCTCCCTCCTTGCCCCATAAAAATGGGATGATATGAACAAGCACCAAAGAGAGAGAATGATTTCATCACAAACTAACTGACTTATTCATTTTACTTCCTTAATCTATAAGGTTGAACCACTTGAAACTTATTTTTTTAGGTTGAAAATGGGCAAATATCGGCAATTTCATATGATTTAATACAATAATTATTATGTCATTCAGTAAAATGAACCCTGTCCAGGAGCTCCAAAGTTCTGGTAAAGTTCTATTTCTTGACCTGTGTGATTTGTGAACTTTTCTGTATATATGTTATACATCTAGAGTTTCATATGAAATCATCACACAAAAAAAGTGTCTCCTATTTTATTTGGTTACTATTTAAAATAAAACTTACAGATTACTTAGTTACAGAGGACTGTAATCATGGACGCTCCCCGTTTTCCATGAAGAAACTGCATACTAGGGACCACCCCAAAGTGCAATATCATAGTCCTTCCTTCACTCTCTAGCAAATCCTACCTGATAAGAGATAACTATCCATGAACTTTGGATCCCTCTTTATGATTATGGTTTTGTAGTGCAAGAGGGAAGCCCTGGTGACACCGTGGTTAAGCGCTCGACTGTTAACTGAAAAGTCAGTGGTTCACACCCAACAGCTGCTCCATAGGAGAAAGGTGAGGCAGTCTGCTTCTGTAAAGACTTACAGCCTTGGAAGGGCTATAGGCAGGTCTATTCTGTTCCACGGGGTCGCTGTGAGTCAGTATGGACTCAGTAGCAGTGGGGAAAGACTCCAGATTATCAAAAACATGAACAAAGTTTTACAAGTGTGTTTGCTTTCACAGTGATCCCATCTTGAAGCTGGAGTTACTCTGACTGACAGTGGCCTTTTCACACTACTACAGTGTCAAAAGTGCTAATCCTATTAATCAATCTACTCAGCCCAATCTGAACCCAAGTCTGGGTAGCAAGTGACATGAACTGAAGGGGAATTCAGAACTGTCTCTGTGATTAAAAGATCTCCTCAACATGATCCTGATGCTAAAGAAAATTCTATACACATTTACTTAATTTGAGTCTGTTTGGCTATTGTGGCAATAAAATGCCTTCATCCCAACCAATTTGTCAGATCATCTACCCAGTAATCAGCTGGCTTCAGAAAAAAAGAGAAGACAACTAAGAATTCTGAACGTAAAGGACGTGGGAAAGGTATAGCTCAGTAGGTGTTCTACAGAGGTCTGTGACAGTCAAAACCAAACCAAACCCACTGCCATTGAGTTGATTACGACTTACAGCGACCCTGTAGGACAGAGTAGAACTGTAGGGTTTCCGAGGCATCGTCTTTATGGAAAAAGACTGCCACATCTTCTGCAAAGCGGTTGGTGGGTTCGAACCACCAACATTTTGGTTACCAGCCGAGTGCTTTAACCACTGTGCCACCAGGGCTCCTCTGTGATAGCCAACCAAAAACAAACCAAACTCACTGCCATCGAGTCAATTCCGACTCATAGTGACCCTCACTGGGTTTCTGAGGCTATAGATCTTTATGGATATAGATTGCCTCATTTGCCTTCTGTGGAGCGGCTGGTGGGTTTGAACCAATGACCTGGTTAGCAGCCAAATACCTTACCCACTATACCACTAGAGCTCCTTTCTGGGACAATCAAGAGGGTAGAATTCCATCAGCGACAAAATAAAGGGAACTGTAGAAAGCTTCCCAGAAAGGAAACAGAAAAACCATTTTCCCTATTCAATTCAGCAGTTTTGCTCAAGACTGGTCCTGTCCCAAACATCAGAGCCTACCACTTGTTTCAGTCACTATGGCCCTGAGAGAAGACAACAAAGATGGTCAGCTGTTAGTGTGAACCAAAGTTAGACACTATACTGCAATCAAACTGACGAATATTTGCTAGAAATTGGTGTTTTGTTTAAAATAACCTGATAATATGTTTTTAAAAAATCAATTTTAATTATGGACAATCTATTATTTCTCACTTAGTTGGGACAACCAGAGAGAATTCCTAAGAATGACTGAGTCTGTGCAGTAGCTTAGTAGTAACTGTTTAAAACATCACGCCAATTAAAAGTCTGTTTAATCAGACTCTTGATCTGACAACACAGGAAGAGTTCTTGGGATCTTTCCTACAGTTCTACCAACATTCTCTACATGAGTGTTATCAAAGGCTTCTGACAGTCTAAACTCCATGATTATTTTAAGAACAGTGGGTTCCTTAAGAACCCAGGAACAGAGGACTAAGGTCAGGTCCATTCAAATGGATACTTAAGTGTAGACTTATTAAAAATACAAAAGTTTTAGCAATCAGCTTTAAAATTTCTTACAGCTATGAAGTTCTACATATATCAGGATCCCAAACTTTATGAAGCATCCCTTAATTTATTGACAAACATCAGAATACCAAGGAAGATCTGAAACTAAATTATTCCACTTGAAATAATGAGAATCAACTCAATAAATAGAGATTACAAGGATAAGGTTAAATGGGGAGTGAAGAATATGAATTTAAGAACAAATTTCTCACAAATTACATTAGTTAAAACTGAAAGGAATGAAGCAATGGTCTTTCTTAAACTACTTTTGAAAGTCAAAGGCTACAGGGGGTTACTAATTTAGTTGCTATGCATGGCAGGTAAGGAGACAAAGAACATGAATCCATGGGAAATATAAGAACGAAAGGCCATGACTCTACCGGGAGCTCTGGTAGCATAGTGCTTAAGGCACTTGACTGCTAACCAGAAGGCTGACAGTTAAAACCCACCAGCCGCTCCTCGAAAGGAAGGTTGTGCAACCTACTTCCACAGTGATACTGCCTCGGAAACCCAAGGAGGGGTCACTACGAGTCGCGTCCGATTCAAAGGCACATAACAACAACAACAATGACGACGACTCTACCACTTACCCGCTCCTTGTAGTAGAAGGAGCTGATGGAGACCTGTTCTTTCTCACTGCGGGTGGGGCTCCCACTGTATAAACGAAGATTCCCAGGGGCCTCAGTGCGGATCTTCATTGGTGCAATCAAGCCAGTATGATAAGCAGACAAGGCCGAGAGAGATCTGTAGTTAAAAACACAGAATTATCCATACTGCCTTCCAGTTTTTCCCTATTTCTAAGCAGTGCTGTTCTTAACATTTGGTGAAACCAAGGAAGGAAGAGAAAAAGACAAAATAGGAAGAAAATGGAACTTAAAAAAAAAAAAACTAAATAGAACTGCAAAATCCTTTATCTGCAAAAGACATAATTATATATGTAGTAAATTCAAAGGAATCTATAAACTATTAGAATAAGTGAGTTTAGACACAAGAACAATCTACAAAAATCAATTGCATTTCTATATACTAGAAACAAACAAATGGAAAATAAATATTTTTTAGATTTTATTCACAATAGCATCAAATAACTAGGAACAAAGTTAATGAAAAAATGGGCACTGAAGACAAAATAGTGCTGAGAGAAATTAAAGAAAACCCAAAACAATGGAGAGAGAGATTGTGCTAGTGGATTGTAATATTCCATGATGCTGTCAATCTTCTCCAAACTGATCTACAGAATTAACACAATCCCCAATCAAAATCCTAAACATATTTTTTTTTAAGAAACAATAAGGTGATGTTATATCTTTATGGAAATGTAAAAGACCTAGGACAACCAACCAACACATTGCTAAATATGAAATAATAAGTTGGAAGACTTACAGTATCAGGTATCAAGACTTACTATAAAGCTATGAAGGGTGTGGTGCTGGCATACGGATAGATAATTAGAACAAAGGACAAACAGTGAGTCTAGAAATAGACTCACAAATACATGGTCAACTGATTTTCAACAAGTGTCAAGGCAAAGTCAATAAGGAAAGGAAAAACTATTCCATAAACTGTATATCTTTGTTATTGTTATGTGCCGTCGAGTTGGACCTGACTCATAGCGACCGCTCCTTGGGTTTCTGAGGCAGTATCACTACGGAAGTAGATTGCCCAACCTTCCTTCTGAGGAGTGCCTGGTGGGTTTGAACCACCAGCCTTCTGGTTAGCAGTCAAGTGCCTTAGGCACTATACTACCAGAGCTCTTGTGTATCTATAGAAAACCAAAATAAAATACTGACCCCTACCTCACATCATACACAAAAATTCATTTGAAATGGCTCATAGACCTCAAATAAGAAATTTAAAATTGTAAAGTTTTTAGAAGGAAACAAAGAATATCTTCATGCCTTGATAGACAAAGATATCTTCACAGGACACAAAAAGCATTAACAGTAATTTTTAAAATGATAAATTGGATATCAAAAATATTTTAAAAACTGCTATTCATCAAAAACTATTAAGGAAGGGAAAAGGAAGCCACAGATGAAGGGAAAATATTTACATCCAACCAACAAAGGACTTGTAACTAGAATAGATTTTAAAATGAATACAAATAAACAATAAAAAGAAACATAGTTCAATATAAAATGGGCAAAATGCATGAACAGCCATTTAATACAAGAAGATATCCAAATGGTCAATAAGCACACCAACGCAAATGAAAGGTACAATGAATACTATTGTACACCCTCCAGAACAGCAAAAATGGAAAAGACTGACAATACTGAGTTTGGGAGAGGATGTGAAGCAACATCACTGGTTAGAGTGTAAAATGCCACAACCACTACAGATACACTTTTTGGAAATTTCTAATAAAGTTAAACATACACCTATCCTAAGACACAGCAATACTATTCTTAGGTAGAGAAATTAATACATATGTCCATAAAAAGACATGTATGTAGGTTTATTCATAACAGCCCCAAACTGGAAACAATCCAAATGTCCATCAATAGGAGAATGAATAAAATTGTTAAATTCCTACAATGGAATATTCTGTAGCAATAAAACAAGAACTAGTGACACACGCAAAATGTGCAGCAATTTTAACATTATGTTGAGCTAAATAAGCCAGACAAAAAAAACGTACATACTGCTGAACTTCTATTTAAATAAAGTTCAAGAACAGGCAAAACTAATCTATGATGACAGAAGTCAGAGTAATGGTTTCTTCTTGGCAAGGAGGGGCTGGGAAAGGGGCCCAGGGAACTTACACCAGGAGGCGATGGCATGTTCTACATTCTGATCTGGATGTTGGTAACCAGCAGATACACTTAGGACTTGTGTACTGTAAATGATCTCTTAATAAAGTACTATTAGCATTATGTCCTCTGATCCAAAGCCTGGGTGGAGATATTAGATGTTTCCCTTTAGGTGATTGTTTCCTCAGCCAACTTTTCAAATAAGGACACAGTTTAATGTAGAAATCTCTGATATTTTAACCTCCAGTTCTTGTGGGGTCAAGGTCTCATCTCCCTGGGTTATTATAGACAGGAAGTTATCACATGCAATCTCCCAATACAGCAGTAGTGCCTACTCATGTACTTAGTTCAATCTCTTTTCTTTCCTCTTAGCTCAGCTATTCACCCATTAGCATTCTACTTAGATCATAACCAATATATCCAGGTGCTTAGAGCAGGAAGGTTTCCCAAGTCTTCTTGGTTACCATTCTGCAGAACCAAAAGTTGGTAATATAATCTTTATATTAAAAACAAACAAACAAATAACAGCAACATACTGGTAATGGGAAACACAGAACACTCACAATGTGCTAGGCAGTATACCTGATTCCTATAAACAAAAATTTAACTTGTTATGCTAATTTAACAGTATGTTAAATGCTTTACTCATTTAATCTTCACAGAAACTAAGAGGTAGGTACTTTGATCATTCCATTTTACTGCTGAAGGAACTGAAGCAAAGTTTAGATACCTTGTCCAAGGTCACAAAAATAAAACTGGCAAAATTAACATTTGGATCCAGATGATTTGGGTCCAAAGTCCATATTCTGCTTTACTACACTAGAATGACTCTAAAAAAAAAAAAAGAAAGAAACAGAAAAATAACAGAAACCTGTTAAATTGTTAGCAGGGTCACGGAAAAGGAAAGAAATGGTTTTACATTTTAATTTAAAACTTCTGCAGTGCTTGAGTTATTCAACATACTACTTATATAATTAAACATTTTTTGGTAATGTTACAAGTAGCACACTAGTATTGTAGGACTCTGGTTTGTATGTGTGTGTGTGTGTAATTTTTCCAGTTTTATTTATTGTTCAAATAATACTTTACTAATGGGAGACATCACATTAAAATAAGAATTTAACACATTTGACAACAGCTCTCTTTTTTATTTAATTTTTATTGTGATTTGGGTGGAAGTTTTCAAAGCAAATTCCTTTTCCATACAGTAGCTCACATACACTTTGTCTCATGACATTGACTGCAGTTTCTCACAATGTTAACAGCTCCTCTCCCACTTCCTCCCCATAGTTAACCTCTTCCCTGTGTCCTTCCCTTCCACACACTCCTGCCCATGGAGCTATCTCCCTGTGCATACACAGCTCTTCTATTCTCCCATGACTAATATCTCCAATGAGTGTTTCTACCCAATGTAAATGTTCAGCTCATATGCCTGTCTTTTGTTTGGCTGGAAGCCACAGGAGTGGGTTCAATTCCAGAACTGAAAGACATCTAGGAGCCATTATCTTAGGGGTTCCACCAAGCTCTATCAGACCAGCAAACCTGCTCCCTTTTGTTTCTTTTTAAATGATTTTGAGTTTTGTTCCACATTGTTCTCCCACTCTATCTAGAATCTCCTACATAGATCCCCCTCCGACTGTTTGACAATGGTAGCTGGGCACCATCTAGTTCTTCTGGTCTCCTAGTCATCCAGGCTGAGGACTGTATGGTGTACCAGTTCCTTGGACTAATTGTTTCCACATGTCTTTGGTTTTCTTCATTCTTCTTTGCTCTGCATGAGGAAAGACCCATCGATGCATCTAGATGGCTTCTTGTAAGCGTTTTTAAAAAAAAAATTTAATGAAAAAAAAATTAAGGAAAAGAAAAAAAAAAAAAACGAAAGGAAAAGGAACAAAGGGGTGGGGTTTTTTTTTGCAGTGTTCCCTCCCTTCCCTCTCCACCCCTAGTAACCAAAAAAGAAAGTTTCCTTCTGTATATAAACCTTTCCTTGACTTTTTACAATAATAAACTAATACTATATTTATCCTTCTGTGATTGATTTATTTCACTCAGCATAATGTTCTCCAAGTTCATCCATGTTGTGCAGTGTTCTGCAGATTCTAAATTATTCTTCAGTGTTGCATAGTATTCCATTATGTGTATGTACCATAGTTTGGTTATCCATTCTCTGTTAATGGGCACATAGATCGTTTCCATCTTTTTGCTATTGTAAACAGTGCTGTGATGAACATGGGTGTGCATATATCTGCTCTTGTCCTGGCTTTCACTTCTTTAGGATATATACCTAGTACTGGGATTACTGGGTCAAATAGTATTTCTAATTTCAACTTTTTAAGGAATCACCATACTGCTTTCCACAATGGTTGTATCATTTTACAGTCCCATCAGCAGTGTATGAGAGTCCCAATCTCTCTACATCCTCATTAGTATTTGTTATTTTCTGTCTTGTTGAACTTTGCCATTAGTGCTGGGGTGAGATAGTATCTCATTGGTGTTTCATTTGCATCTCTCTGATGGCTAATGATCATGAACATTTCTTCCTGTGTTTGCTGGCCACCTCAATACCCTCTTTGCTAAAGTGTCTACTCACGTCTTCTGCTCATTTTTAAAATTGGATTGCTTGTCTTTTTGAGGTTGAGGTGTTGGAGTTTTCTACAAATTTTAGAGATAAGTCCCTTGTCAGATATGTCATTGCCAAATATTTTTTTCCCAATCTGTAGGTTATCTTTTTACTTCTTTGGACGTGTAATTATCAACAAATAGGAATTTGTTGCTGTCATTTTGTCATTTCATGGTGTTGCTGATTTCTTTGCTCCATATAATTTTCTATGCTGAACTCATTTTGTTTATGAATCATATTATCACTTCCTTCTTTGCTACTGTTTTAGTATTTGCTAAGTATTTGTGTTGGTCCTCTTTTTTATTTTAATGTGAAGGTTTATCATTTTTCTTTGAGGTTACCTTGTGATTTATAATTTTCTTCCCAAGTTG